TTGAAAAATTAAATATTGTATTTTAAATACATTATTTTTTATGATTTATAAGAATACATATGGTACATATTTAATATTATTAATATTAGTCGCAGTAGTATAGTTTCTTTCCTGTTTTTAAACTCAAATGTTGATATTAAATCAATATTAAATTCTGCATTTCTTTTTCATTCTTTTAATGGAAAGAGAATGAGAGCCCAAGGTGTTTGTGTTTTCAAAAGAATCCCAGAACTAACAGGCCTAAAGCTTTGATTCGGCCAAAAAAAAAAAATCACATTGAATCACATCCAAATCTACATGCAAATGCATTGCAAGTGGGAAGTTTAGATTAAATTACAAAACAATATACAGTACATTTAACACTACTAAATCAATTTCTGGTCTAAATGACCTCAGATGTAAATCTGTGCTAATGAATTACCTTCTGTTAACGATTATATTCTGTACATAGAGAAATGGAACAGCCTGCTCTGCATCCTCTCAGCAACCAATCCAAACACGTCACATTTTTGGAAACGTATAGATCAAGTCTATTGGTAAAAATAAATTAATACATTTTTCTTTTTTCCCCCTTAAAAATGACCCATTTAAAAGAGACAGGAAACATTTTTTTATTTGAACTCTATTGTTTTAGAAGTTTTAGTTTAGATGCATTTGTCCCAATTTCTCACACATAGATAATTGAAGAGTCCAGCGTTCTAAGTGGCCTGCCTTCCTTTAGAAACACTTCAACATCTATTAATATAATATTTTTAACATTTGCCCACTTAGAACCAGAGGTCGCAGCCTTTGAAATTACTGGAATCCACAATGACACATTTAGTGCTGTTGCTTGGGAGATCTGAAAGACTTCAGGATGCATTGAAGTGTTGCATGAATGTCATACATTTTCTAGCATTGCATAGCTCTGCATCATAATTGTGTAGCGTCCATATTCTGCTGGTTTCATATGCGTCACACTAGAGTTGAACCAGAAGTTGTGCATGTGCAAGTGTGTGCCCCTGAGAGACCAATAATCATATGTACTGCATTATGTGCCATATTGAGGTCCAGATGGACTAAGTGATGAATTTAATTTTATTTTATTCAAAAGCTTTCAGAGAATAAAATGGACCCCGGAAGGCTATGTTTACCAAAATCTGAAGAAATATGCAATTTCACGTATCTTTTTCACTGTTTTTTTGAATGCCTGAGGTGTTTGTGTTTTCAAAAGAATTCCAGTATTAGCAGACTTCAGTCTCTTCTGATTCCGCAGCTTTGATTCGGCTGAAATCAATCTACATTGAACACTTGAAAATAGATTTCCAAGCTCACGCAGAGGTTGCAAAATAGTGGCTGAAACATCTACGTTCTTCTCACACCAGAATATTTAACCACATAATGCAATTAATTACTGTCCTAATTAAACCGGTTGTGACTCCTTCATGCCGTGCTATGGTTGGCGGTTTGTGAAGAGGTAAAGGAAGTCTCTGGAGACGTGCTCTGCGAGACAGAGTTAACTCCATGACTCCAAACCCACGCTCACACCAAACCACAACACATGAGCCTTTCTAAATGTAGTTAATTAAAGTCTAAGCAAGCAAATGAAAACGTAATGTAATATTTTTCCACAGGAGAGAAATATGCTGGCGGAGAGGATGTCTCCCGAGAGCGAGTAAAACAACGCAGGTAGCCTGAAACCTATTCGAGTTTAATTGGTCACCTTAATTATGCTGAAATCTTATTAAGTTGTATGACACGGTGAATTTTTAGTCCACCGTCACATGCGAGTGGCAGATACTGGTTGCTGCAGAATGAATAATTTAAGAAGGGATTTTTCCAAACAAGCCTAGACGCAGTGTTTGTTCAAAGGATGGAAAAAAGTACCAAACAGACGGACATTTTAAATATTGTAAATCCAGGGCGTTTGTAGACAGCATGAGGCTTACGTGACAAGAGACCTTCAAAAAGGCCACTGAACATAATAGTTGTACCAGATGTGTTTGTGGATCACAGTGGGTAGAAAACACTACATGCATCACATGATTTTCAGTTGCTGAAAATGGCACCTTGCTATAAAAACACAATGTCCTTTTACTAGTTTACATTTAGATTAAAGGGGCTTTAAGCTGTTTTCTTTGGAAACCATTGAATCAAATCCTGACAATCACTTAAATGTGTCCAGAAATATCCCACCTTTCTCTGTGACAGCCCTAGGCTCTATAAACATCTGGGAGTGGCCCACACTTTTTCAGTCAATCAGAAATGCGTTCATGCATCTGACATTCTGACATGTCTTTGGAGGGAAGACACAACTTTGGAGGGTAATTTTCTCAACTTATGGTCAAATAATGGAGCATTACTTTTGTAAACCCTTGTATTTTTTTCCCCTTTGCCAATACTTACATTCTAGTGTAATTCTAGGGTAACTCAAAAAGTAATTACCATAACTTTGGTCAAACATTTTTTCTATTGTACACAGAATATTTTACTCTGTTTGTGTTTACTGGCCATTCAAACCCCGGCTGACCTGTATTGTTGACTAATGCATAATACTTGTATAATTATTTTATTCACTGTTTTGCTAAAATTAGAAGAGGCATATCTAGGAGACAGCTCAGTGCTTTTCCAGGCCGCTGAAAGCAGTGTACACCGAGAGGACAACTGAGGTCATGGCTGAAAAATGACCAAATACCATTACATCTCAGGGGAAAGTGTTATGGATTCTGAAAAAAAAAAAAAAATAGTCCTAAAGAAAATGATAATGAGCTTTAGTTTATTTCAATTATACAAGGTCAGGGTTTGTCTGGCTAGTTTAGTCCACTTCCTGCTACTAGATACAAAAAGCATTTTTTTTGCAAGCAATATATAAACAAATTAATCATATTATATTATAGAAATTTTAAGCCATGACCAATATGTTTTCAAAGGGAACTTAAAAAATTCAAATTAACTTTTATTTTCCATGTCAGAGCCCAGAATCGCTAACGAATAGTTTGTGACTGTGCATGCTCGTTTACTGTCTTAATCAATTTACGGCTCTACCATACTGGCAGTAGAACTGACGGCTACACCAATGGACCTTTTTTACAAATAGTGATCATGTGTTTCCACAATGATTAACATTGTAAATCTAGTACTTTTATATTTTCATCTTTTTTTAAAAAGTAACACTGAAGTTCAATTTCTCAATAAAAGGAAATTAGCCTATGTCACTGCGGTGTAAAATTAGTTCCACTACGGGTCTGCGACTACTACATTAGTGCGTATATTTATCTTACGTCTTGGTTTCACCGTTCTGTCGGATACATCACAACATAATATACTGCATTCAAGCATATGTTTTTGCTAATCCTGACAGATCAAAATACTAAAACTAAAACAATTTATTTTCATGACCACACTGTATACAACTTACCTTAATCACAGTCTGTTCATTAAACTATAAGCAGAGCAACTATACAATGAGCAAAAGCAACAATACTGCTTCGAATGGGTTTGTTAAGTCTGCATAATTACAGCTTTTAAGATGATGACGACTGGAGCATATGACAGAAGTGTTGCAGTTTATAATAGATATGTCCAGAAACATATGCTTGTTCTGAAGGATCCCACGCATATTCTCTTGAATATGCATTTATGTACTCAATATGTACTCATATTTGATGATCAAGAGACATTTATGATTATTATCAGTGTTGAAAACAGCTGTGCTTCTGTTTCATATTTTCATGGAAACCGTGATATAGCATTTTCAGGAATCTTTAATGAATAAAAACTTAAATCAAACACATATAGAAATCTTATAATCTTTTGTAACATTATAAATGCATTTACTGGCACTTTTAAAAAAAATTCATTGTGTCCATGCTGAATAAAAATATTACTTTCTTTTTTTCCTTTACTGACCAAATTAATGAAGTTTATTTTTTACTCCTAGTTAAGCCAACGCTGCCATTGCTAGACAGGTTTGCACATGCTTTATGTTCTTACTCAATTACATAATAGAATATTTTAATAAGATTTGTGTGACATAATTTGTAATTGATACATTATTTGACATATTATTAAGCAATATCTGACAGCTGGTGGCGCAACAGAAAAATTCGTAGTGTAATGTTTGCCACTTCACTTTATTGCCTCTATGAGTTGCCAACGGACAAAAATAAGGCAAATGTACCTACGGACGCCAGACATGAAGTTTACTTGGAGGAACGCACATTGTAACGTTAATTTCACTATTAACTCTGGCCGAGAACGTAAAAACTGCCATACGCCGTGTTTTTGTACACAAGGCCCCAGGTCTGTGCGAGATGGGAGTGTGACATGACATCTTGATACAGTTCTATTTAGCAACATGACATCATGACTTTTGCGTAAACATACACGCCACTTTCGAGTCAAGTGGTGTGTTATCTACGCATTGTGTGCTATCTGCGTGTATGCGTGTATGTCTACGCCATTAACGTTCGCGTCATTCCACGTGTCTGTACACGCCGTCAAATGTCCAGTCATAAATGCCATTAACCCCAGTGATGGTTAAGTTTAGGGATGGGGTTGAGGTAAGTCATATATTTATATAACGTGAAGTCAACGGCGTTCATAAACACGCTGAAAAGCGATTATGCGTCTTGATAGCACACCAAAAATGGAAATACGAATTGGCGTGTCATACACACGCTACTTCATGAGATCAGTCTGTATTTAGGCTCAGCAATCGCTATTACCGCAAAAAAAAGTTTCCAGAACCCAAAAACCCAGATGTTTGAAATTGGCCTGTTGTGGATTTTTTCATTTGCTATTGGGGCAAATGGGAACACAAAATTATATTTGATGTAGTTTCAGTACACCACTATAGAAGTTTACCTAACTATGACAACTTCTGCTTCTGAGACCCAGGAAATGTCAGTTTTGCATATTTTTTTTCCAGTTAAGTGCGAACACCACATCCCATTTCATTCTCTTAAAGACATAAAGAACCATTATATCTAAGAATCTTATGAATGAATCTTAACACTTACCTGTGGCTCCCTCCCCAAACCAGCCCCTCCTCCCACAGCAATGATAGGCACTCCAGTCTGGGCCGAAACAAATTCCAGCATAGGTGCTAACGGTGCCCGGTTGGGCGGTGGTGGCTTCTCTTCCTCAAACACAAGGCCTTGTAGTGGAGTGGTAGCCAGCAACTCGCATAACTGTAGCAAGAGGCTCCCAGGACTGCTCTCGTTCACGGCCAGCCAGATCACGTTCGCAGGACCCCACGGTGTCATCACACTTTCACCCACCTGTCCTGACCAGGCCCGACTTAGAAAACCCGTCCCCGAGTTGCTGCTGCTGCTTGGCCCGGCACCAGAGCCGGAGCCCGCTGAAGAGGCCCCGCCCACGCCCCCCACCCCAGCGCTCGTTTCCGGGAGGTGGGAGGAGCCAGAGTGAACCACAGCGATGTTGACTCCGCCCGAAGCCCCTCCTGAGTCCCTCTCTCTCTCCCGGGGGCGGAGCAGCAATGGGGGGGAGGGCTGGGCCGGCCCAGTGCACGCCAGCACAGCCAATAGAAACGAAAGGGCGGGCCTCGCCGCCATAACACGGGCAGAGAGTCACTTGGGTGGGTAGCGCTTTATGCTGGAACGAGACCTTGAGGGAGAAAAGAAAGAAGGACTGTTAGAAACAACGTAGCTGAATCGAGGGAAGACATGAAAGGCAAGCCATCAGTGTACAGTCCATCTACATCAATTAAGACGCCACCAGGCACCAAGATACATTAACCTGGCAGAGGTAGTTAAGTCTCTGCATGGGAATTGGAGAAGAAAGCTGACACATCTCACCTCCCTGAACCTCACCGTTCCCCGGGGAACGTGGGAAATCATTACCTCCCCTCCATTGATTCATGCATTAGATCCTTTAACGCAGGACAGTGTCTCGAATCTCCGCTATAAATCTGCTTGGTCGTAAACCGTCCATCTCTGCTTGGGTGGATCGTAGACGAAGAGCAGACGGAGTAAATAAAAGTGAAAATAAAGAACAACAGAGGGGACGAGGCCTCCCTCTGTACCTTTTGTTTGTGTTCCTCATACAATGAGAGAAAAAAGCGAGAGCGCACGAGAACGAGAAAGGGAGGGAGAGACGGCGTGCTTGTGCTGATACAAATGGCAGGCCATGTAAGCGCCAGCAACACCATGAATCATTTTCAAGTCACTTTGTACGCCAGCCATCAAAACCTACCCACCCATCCCTCCGCCTTTGCAGTAGACGCGCACATACACACTCTCTTTAATTAACCTCCCACTAAACACACTTATTTATACACAAACAACGTGTACGCGAGTGCACAGACAAGCAATAGTGTGATATACTGTGTGATGTATAGCATACACACTTGCACTAACGTGCACATATTAAGTAACGCACTGACTCAAGGTCTGGCAGCACATTTACACACCCACATGCGCACACAAACGCAAATGAACATCTATCTCTCCGTCACACTGGCTACGTCTCAGAGCTCGAGCTGCTAATGTCATAGCTTTGAACCAGAAGGCACACTGACGTCATAATTTCTTCTCATTTTCCTCCTCTCTCCCCCATTACTTCTCCTTGCAGTTCTTTTGACACTGGGAAAAAGACACAGAATGGGGGATTAAGACTGGGACAGCAAGATCCGTTTGGGAAAGACCAATAGGCAGAGGGGAGGGGGTGAAAAAAAATGAAAGAGAAGTGGACGTTTGAATGGAAGCAAAGAGTAGAAGTGGGAAGAAAGAGAGGGAGGGGGGGGGGGGGGGTGATGGCAGCAAAGGAGGTAAAAAGAGAAATATTTAAGAGTGAGTTCAATAACCTAAAAGGACAGATGCCTATAAGGGAGTTTTGAGGAAAGGCAAAAGGGACTATCAGAGGGTCTGCTGCATAATTCAGGACATCATTACTATCGGCCTATAGGCAAAAAATGCAGTGGAGAGTAGGGCAAAAATACTACGGACTAAACGGAAGAGCACAAACAAAATTTATTTGACTGTGTTATGTATAGCGCACAGTACTTCAAGCTAGACAGCAGAGCACCTATCATGGATTTTTGAAAATGATTGTTCATGTAGTGTGGAATATAGCTCTTAGGGAATGAAAACGTCCTGCAAAGATTTATATCTGAGAGTGCACCGTATATAAAGTTATTGTCTTTTAAAAGTGAGAGTCGACTCTGAGTCTATGAAATGAATTGTTTTTGAAACGAGTCATTAGCTGTTACATCGTGACGTAGATAGGTCAGGAGACGTCTAGAACACATTCAAATACTTCAGCTGAATCGCATCATGTCGAGAAGACGCTGTGTTCTACATTGCAAAGATAGTTCAGCAGCCACTTGTTTCCATTGTCCAGGGACGAGCGTGTGAAGAGTCAGTGGTCAGAGCTCATATTTGCAACGAGTAATATTTGCAATCCAGTGTATATGGATCAGGTTCGTCCTCCGAATCACAATCTGTAAGTAATATTAATAATGTTTGCTGTTATGTTTTCTGTAGCATGCACAATATAGTTATATTGTGTTGTGTGTGTTGTGTACACTCCGCGCAGCTTCTAAGCGGGGTAAAGTTAGTTTTGTTTTTGATATTCACCAGACATTAATTGAAAAATGGCAATTACCTCCTAAACGACTTAGCCAAATATGACTTCGCTCTATATAATAAGCACTGTCCCTCAAAAGCCGCCGCAAAGCTTGCTCTTTATGGAGACGGGAGTAAGGGACCGTGTGGAAAGTGCACTTTTTCTGACACGTTTGTTCAAACACTATATCAACACTTGACAAGCTATAATCCTGGTTATGGGTGTTCCGTTGCCGACAGTCTCTGCCTACGGTTTACCAATAACAACTGACTGGGTCATTTGACAAATCGCCGCAGATTCGCGTCACTCAAAGCAGGTGTTTGGGAAAATGAATCGTCGAATGAATCATTTGGGAGTCGACGAGCAAATCAGTTAAAAATAAATGCATTTTATAAGACAAATAAATGTTTATCCTTGCATGCACGTTAAACTGTTTTTGGGAACTCCTAAAACAAAAATAGGAACATTTCAAATGCTATGATAGGGGCTCTTTAAAAGGGGCTATATGTTGAAATCCAAAGGGACTGCAGACAAGAGAAGGTGACTTTTTTGTGCATAAAGCATAAAAATCCATTAAAATTATAATTCCGCTTCAAAGAAATACAAAGTTACGGATGAAGAAGAAAACAATAACCCGTGCTGTAGGCCGAGTCTAGATAGGAACATCTGTTCTGGATAGTGAAGTATGATTTATAAATGAAACTGTGGAGGTATAAAGCTCCTTATGTTTGATCCAAATGGTTTATTAGTGAGAAAGTGTAAAAAAGGTTCTTTAAAATACAGTAGAGTAAGAAGTCCAGCACACACCTCATTAGACTTCAAAATCATTAGACTTGCATCTAAACATGCAGCGAATTGCAAATGAGGTTAAATATTTGAGAGGTGAAAACATCTGTAGTAACTACATTCCGTAAAATAATTATGGGCCCCACTAAAACCCAAAGAGGCAGGCAACTTTTCAGACTTTTGAAGTCCGGTTTGGTAGTTTGTGTTGAAAGGTCATTTTTTTGTGTGTTTTTTAATGACAATGAGGTTGAGGGGTCTTGTCATCAAGGCCAGTGGTTAAAGGAGTAGTTCACTTAAAAAAAAAAAAACTTTTGCTGATAATTTACTCACCCCCATGTCAACCAACTAAGATATCCATGTCTTTCTTCAGTTGAAAAGAAATTAAGGTTTTTGATGAAAACATTCCAGGATTTTCCTCCATCTAATGACATAATTAATCAAAATGAACAAATCTTTTCCCAATTCAACTCGTTCATTTTGTTCGTTGAATGAACCAAATGACACGAAAAAAGATTTGTTCATTTTGATGAACGAGTTCGAACAGGAGAGTCACAAACGTGCATCACAGAGCAAGGCGAGCCTTTGAGCTTATAAAACTTAAACTTTACTTATTTATTTTTTAAATGAGCGATGGTTTCGCTTGATAAGACCCTTATTCGTGGTCTGGAATCGTTTAAAGCCCTTTGAACAGTTTGCACTGAAACTGTCTTTTGGACCTTGAACAGTTTGGTTCCCATTGAAGTCCATTATATGGAGAAAAAATCCTGGAATGTTTTCATCAAAAACCTTAATTTCTTTTCGACTGAAGAAAGAATGACATGGATATCTTGGATGACATGGGGGTGAGTAAATTATCAGCAAAAGTATTTTTTAAAAAGTGAAGTACTCCTTTAAGTTTTGCTAATTGGTGTATCAACAATTTAAAGAGCAAAAACAGAGGTGATTGACAAAACGGTAAGGCATTCTTTTTGCCCTTAAATTCTGTTAGCTTGACTTTCTGAAGGCGAGCTTAAACAGTGAGCTCCTTTTGACGCTGGAACACTGAATTCAGCAAAAAAATATTGACATAAAACCAGACAGAGAAGTTCAAGCACTTCTAAACAGAAGGGAGAAGCTTTAAGACACACCACATCACTCCAAATTCATAAATATGAAAATGTATTGATGTGAATTATGATTTTATGAAATAATGTGCTCGAAATAAATTTGCAAAACCAAAAAGGTGAAGCATTTAAAAGCTTGTTGCCACATGTTGATGACAGAAGCAGTCAGGAAAAAAGTGTGAAAGCAGAACAGAGGGGAACAACTGAAATTGGGTATGGACTGAAGCAATCGTATAAAGTGTGAAAACACTCTAAGTCAGGCAATTTGGCCAGTCATTGCCTCTGTGAGTAGCCGTCTGGTGATTAAGACTGGGCTGATAACACAGACGTCACAAATGTGATCCTAGGCAGGGCAGACACATAAACTGGGGAGTTTCTAAGTGAAGCCTAACACAATCAAGTCTTTCATCAAGACACTTAATGCCGTTTTGCTCGAGTCTAGGGGAAACATCTCCTGCTATTTGTGTACTAGTAGAAAGCGTCTGCTAAATGAAAAGTAACCTTCATGAAACCACACTTGTGAATGAACTTAACCACAGAAATAAAAACGGCACCAAGCAATAACTTCATAATCATTTGGTAATCAGTTTGATGTTTTTTCCAATTGTACACGTTTCATTATTACATGCTTGATCTTGTGACAAAGCAGCTGCTGAAAAATAAAAAATAACTTAATGCTGCTATTACAGGGTTTAAACGAGTTACACCCCAGCCTCGGAATAACCCACACAGGTCTAAAATAAATCGACTACCACCCCACAACTCAACCCGTCTTATTCAAATTATGCTATTGGTGATTAGAGAATAAAATATGTAGAATCCTAAATGGTCATATTATTGTTCTGTGAGTTCATGCTGTTTCCCCAAGAGTCTGATGGCAATAAATATTTAAGTTTCCATTCAGGGCTGATAAGCAGAATCGACTCATTCTAGGACGTGTCCCCACGATACAGTAAATTGAGTCAAAGAGAAAATGTCTTGAGATTTTTGTGGTGCACTGTAAAGACAAAATACTTTTTCTGCTTTGTGACCACATCTTAGCACATCACTGCTCTCCAATTTGTACTGTACTGTACAGTTTCTGATGCGCAAGAAGCTGAACCAATAATCTTAAAGGGTACATATCATGCTTTTGAATCATTCATTTTTACA